GTACGTACATGTTGTCATTGTATCTCAGTGCAATGATAATAAAGCTTATTCTGATTCTGGAAAGGAAATGTTCACTGTTTGCGGATGATTGAGCCATATGGAAAAGAGGGAGAAATATAGAATTTGTTTTAATGTAAATACAAGCTGCAATATCTAAAAAAGTAAAGTCTGGTCCAATGGACATTCAAAAAACAAAACACAACAAAACAAAAGTAGAAACGATGTGTCTTTCATCCAAAAGACTTCAATCTGAGGTGCTGTATTAAGCTCAGTCTTATAAATAGCGCCTTCTCGTAGTAGTGGATCAACCATTTTGCTGCTGACAGCCAAAACCAGCTGCTAACGTGATTAAGGAGGACCATCTGCCTAATGATGGAACGTTAGCACCCTGATGGAGGTTTACTATTCACAGGGGGCTGAGTGATACTAGCAATAACAGCATTGTAAGAGGGGGACAGTTGAACCCGGAGGCCTCCACCCCTGTTTAATGATGGACGGTTTCTTTTCACAAAGATGGCCTCCTTTACTCCTCTCTCAAACCATTGACATTCAGAAGATTTTTATGGACATGGCCTGTGGTGGGATGCAACTGTACTTTACTTAAGTAGAGTTAAATGTGGGTACTTTCGACTTTTACTCCACTACATTTTACATTAAGTATCTGTATTTTCTACTACACTACATTTCTATAATGCGTTGCATTACAAGTTACATTCACGTTGCGGCTTTTTGATTTGTTTGTTACTTTGAAAGTAACCAATAGTGAGAGGGGAGCTGGTCCATTGAATCAGTGCAAAGTGGGCAGGTAACGTTAGGCCCGCCTTCAGGAAGAGCTGGGCCGCAAGCCGGCCCCAGGCCGGGGGCCAGAGCAGCAGGGAGCAGCAGCCGAGGAAGACCGGCCCAGTGCACCAATGCATCCCTAAAGCCCCACACCACAGGCCCGGAGAAGCCCCGGCATGCCACCCATGTACCACCCCCACCCCCACACAGCACCCCGCACCGTGAATGTCACATCATGGCGACCAGCCAGCACTTCGTCGAAGTGAAGCCATGCCCCCGACCGCCGCCATGCACTACCAACGACCACACACACAACCACAGCTGACCTCCCGCCAGAACCCGGCAGCCACCCCAGCCAAAGGGCTGGCCATCAGAACCAGGAACCCTGATAAAAGGATCCAAACAATCCAGGGAGAACCGGAGCACCAGCCCCACCCCCACTCGCCCCCAAAGGCCCAATACCCACCCACAGCCCAGACCCCAACCAGGCAGCCTACCCCCCCCAACCCCACCCCCAAATGTCAGACGGAGAATGAGGGTTTAAGAAAAGCTGTCAGATCCAACTCCTCCCTCCCCCCACTCAAATATGTTGATGCATGTTGTTATATAGTGTGTTTAAAATGAGGGGGATGAGGTGGCGACTGGCACAGACCCACCCCCTCCCCAGAGAGCAGGCAGTGCCCGTTCACCCCCCCAACCCTTGCCCAGAACCCTAAATGTCTACATGCTACATATAAGAGTGGGCACTGGTCCCGGAGGTGAGAATGATTACACATCCCACCCCCTATATGCCACCATGTGCCCACTCCAGACCCTATATATGCATGTGTCGTGAGAATGTTATATACGAGTGTCTAGGTTGTTTGATAAAATTGGGGCCCAGGTCTCCATGAACCACGGAGATGGAGGATCCTCCCCGCAGCTCAGTAGTGCACCTGAACCCCAAGGCCCTGCTTGAGTGGTGGTGTGATGGAGTGGATGGAGGAAGACGTCGGGATGGGGAGGAACAACTGAGGTGGCAATGCCCTCCCAGGGTGCCAGCTCCCCCACTGACCCCAATAGGCGCCCCCATTCTCCGAGATCCACCAGGGGAGGGAGGCTCCAGTGCATTCATCCAGGAGCAGGAGGCAGCCACACCACCAGGGACCCTGGTCACGGACCGGCACATAGCCCCGAGGACCGACCAGAACCCGGGCCAGCGACCCAAGCCCCCTGAGATCATCCAGACCCTCAACCCGATCCCCAGCTTAACACCCAGCCCCCCAACCAAAGAAGCCACCAAACTCCAGCAGCGACAATCAGCCAGGAGTGCCTGAACAGCCGCAGACAGCGTACCACAATGACCAAGAGCGCACCCCCACCCCCACAAAAGGACCGACCAGTCCACCACAGCAACACCCACAATGAGAGCACCCCATGCAAGGGAGGGCACACGCCTAACACGCCCAGACACCCCCGGGCCAGCAGTGCAGAGCCACCTGAGCAAAAGCCCCCCCACCCACAGCCCCCCACAGCCCAGAACCCCAGCCAAGCACCAGACCGCAGCCACAGCCAGGCAGGAAGACATCCAGGCTGAGTCCACCCGTCCCTCCCCCACGTCAGAGGCCCCAAAGCCCACCAGCGCACCAAGGGCCCCCAGGCCAGGGCTGGGCGCCGCGCATGCACCGGCCCAAGACCCTGACAACATACCCACCAAGACCCGAGACCCCCGGATCAAACCGGGACCCCAGCCCGGGAGCGACACTCCCTCAGAACCCTGAACCCACGCCCACCCCAAACCCACCCAGGAGCAGCCAGGCCACCAGGCCAGCAACCTGCACCCACCGGCACAGACCGCCCAGAGGCCTGCATGCAGCCAGCAGAGGTCAACGCCCAGAACCATCAAAGCCATCTCCCCAGTTGAGCGCCATTGCCCCGGGTCCATGACCCCCCCATGCCCGCAGCCCCGATACACCCCCCCCCCCC